CCGACGCCACGTCGCCGTCAATTGTGGCCGCTTTAACCCATTTGGTGCCGTCTTTCTCCTTCTTCTCGATGACATAGCCAGTGATAGGGGCGCCGCCGTCTCGCATGGGTTTCTCCCATTTGAGTTCGACGTAATCCTTGTCATAGTTTGTCATTTCGGGAGTTCCCGGAGCTCCGGGAGGATCGAAGGGATTCTTCGCCAAAATTGGTTGCAATGTTTCCAATGGGAGTGACTCTCCCTCAGCGTTAATCGCTTTCACTCTAAACTTATACTCCTTTCCGGGCTCTAAGTTATTGACTGCGATCTCAGGTCTGGTCGACGAACCGACGGGAACCCAACTATTGGCCAAACAAATCAAAATACAGTTAAAACATGTAAAAACAAATTGAGATAAACAATAGCGCAGACATACCGTCCAGTTTTGGTGTCCTGTTTCTCGACGACATAGGATTCAATGGGAACTCCGCCGTCGTCTTTGGGTTCTTTCCATTTCAGTTTACAGCCCTCGGCGTGAATATCTAAACAATAGCGCAGACATACCGTCCAGTTTTGGTGTCCTGTTTCTCGACGACATAGGATTCAATGGGAACTCCGCCGTCGTCTTTGGGTTCTTTCCATTTCAGTTTACAGCCCTCGGCGTGAATATCACTCACCTCTAGGGGGCCCTCAGGAGGCGACGGCACGTCAAGTACCGTCACTTTGACCTCTGCCTCGTCTTTTCCCGACGGGTTTTCGGCCGTAATTTTATAGATTCCGGTGTTTTTACGTTCGGCTGCAGTGACGGCGAGTTTGGTTCTGTAGGGCTCGTTCTCGACGGTGTGTTGGCTATCATTAGCGATGGGACTGTCGTTCGCGAACCACAATGTTTTGGGCGGCGGCTCTCCAATCACTTTGACATCAAATTTGAAGGCCTGTCCGGCGTGTAAGACAACATCTCTCAGCGAAGACCTGTCTATCTTTGGCGCTAAGTTTCTGGGCTTTGCGGTGACGCTATCGCTGGCATCGCTGGGACCGCTCGGACCCGCTTTGTTCACCGCTCGCACACGGAATTGATATTCCATGCCTTCAATCAGATCGGGAACTCTGGCCTCGCATTTGTCGCCAATAATTTCGGCCGCTTTTTGCCATTTAGTGCTGTATCTGTCCTTTTTCTCAATGATATACGAAGTGATGGGAGCGCCGCCATCGGTGTCGGGCGCCTTCCACACCAGATCCACGTGATGTTTGTCCCAGTCTTTGGCCGACGGTTTGCCTGGTTTTCCCGGTTCGTCGAATGGATTCTTCGCCACAATCGCAACATCCGTTTCCAATGGTTCCGATTCTCCCTCAGAGTTAATGGCTTTGACGCGGAATTTGTATTCCTTTCCGGGAATGAGTCCTTTGATGTCGGCTTCGGGTTCGCGAACAGTAGTGACGGGAACCCATCGGCCGGTGTCCACATCCATCTTCTCGACCACATATCCGGTCACCGGTTCTCCGCCGTCGTCCTCCGGTTTATCCCATTTCAGTTTACATCCCTCCGAATGAACGTCACTCACGTCGAGCGGACCCTTTGGTTTCGATGGTTTGCTCAACACTTTAATCTCGACCACCGCCTCATCGGTTCCGAACTCGTTCTTCGCGGTTATCGTATAATTTCCGGTGTCATTGCGTTTGGACTTTAATAGCATGAAAAGTGTATGATTTGGTTCGTTATCAATGCTATGCGTGTCGTCTGTCTTCAGTGACTGTCCATTGAAAGACCATTCAATGGTAGGCGCGGGCTCTCCCTTCACGTCCACATCGAATTTGACGGGTTGTCCGCTCCTTATCGTCACATTCTTCAGGTTTGTTCTGTCAATAATCGGCGCTAATCTGCGGGGTTTAGCGATGACAGGACGCGACGCTTCGCTCGGTTCACTCGGACCCGCTTTGTTGACAGCAATCACACGGAACTCATACTCTTCGCCCTCTTCGAGGTCGGGAACCGTTGCCTTAGTGTCGGGTGTGTGCAAAGTCTTGGCCTTTTGCCACTTATGTGTACCCTTTTTGCGTTTCTCAATAACGTAGCCCTCAATGGGAGCGCCGCCGTCGGACTCGGGAGGAGTCCACTGCAGGTCGACGTGATCTTTGTCCCAATCTGTGGGCTCGGGTCGGCCCGGTTTGGAGGGCTCGTCGAAGGGATTCTTGGCAACAGTCGAGTGATCCGTTTCGAGTTCATCGGAATCGCCCTCTTTATTGACGGCCCGGACTCTGAACTTATACTTTCTTCCGGGAACTAAATTCGTCACTTCGATCGTCGGTTCCTTAGACTTACCGCAAGGAACCCATCGACCGGTTTCCTCATCCATTTTCTCCACTTCATAGCACTCGATAGGAGTGCCCCCGTCGTCGTCCGGCGGCTTCCACTTCAGTTTACAGCCCTCTTTGTGAACATCGCTCACCTCTAACGGCCCGTTAGGTGTCGACGGTTTGCCCAATACGTTGATCTCGACGGTCGCCTCGTCTGTGCCGCTACTGTTGGTCGCGATTATAGTGTAAATTCCGGTCTCTTTTCTCGTGGCTCTCAATAGATTGAATTTTGTGTTGTAATCAATGTTATCGATGCCGTATTGATCGCCAGTTGACAGCTCTTTGTCATTATGTTTCCATACAATCACTGGCGGCGGCTCTCCGTTCACATCGACGTCGAGGCTAACCATTTGTCCGGCTTTTATAGTGATTGGCTTCAGATTTGTTCTGTCGATTCTGGGCTTTAAAAAGCGTGGTTTTGACAAATGAGGAGCCGTCGCGTCGGATGGGGCTCCGGGTCCGGCCTTATTCACGGCCCGAACCCTAAACTCATATTTGTCGCCCTCATTCAGACCCATCACTTTGCCTTTGCATACATTGCCCTGTATTTCAGCCGCCGGTACGAAATCGTGACTATATTTGTCTTTCTTTTCGATGATATACCCCGTGATAGGGGCGCCGCCGTCACGGATGGGTGCCTCCCATTTCAGTTCGACGAAGTCCTTGTCGTAGTCGTCGATGACGGGCAGTCCTGGAGGTCCGGGTTCGTCGAATGGGTTCTTCGCCAGAATCGCCCGATCCGTGTCCAGCGGTTCCGACTCTCCCTCTTCGTTGACGGCCTTCACTCTAAACTCGTACTTCTTTCCGGTGTCCAAACCGGTCACCTCTGCGGTGGTCTTCTCGGGTCCGCATTTGGCCACTGGAACCCATCGACCGCTTGAGATGTCTTTCTTCTCCACAACGTATCCCTGAAGAGGAACTCCTCCGTCATCTTTGGGTGGATTCCACTCGAGAGTACATCCATTCGCGTGAACGTCGCTCACATCGAGCGGTCCCTCAGGTTTGCCGGGTTTGTCCAAAACGTTGATCTCGACCTCCGCCTCGTCCTTCCCGGACTCGTTTGTGGCCACGATTTTGTACTTTCCGTTCTGTTTTCGGGTCATATTCTTGAGCTGAATGTGTGACTCGTATTCCGGGTTTTCGATTTTGGTGTTCAGATCGGCTTCGAGTGGTTTTCCGGCGAAAATCCATTCGACTTTCGGCGGCGGTTCGCCACTAATCTCGACGTCAACTTTGGCTGAATTGCCGGCTCTTATGGTAATTGTCTGCAAATTATCGCGATTTATATGTGGTTTCAAATGGCGTTCTTTGCATGTGTGCAGACCAGTCGGTTCACTGGCCTCACCCGCACCCGCCTTATTGACAGCTTTGATGCGGAACTGGTATTGTTTGCCTTTAATAAGTCCGGTGACGGCCGCCTCTGGTTTGGGTGAATTGGTTTCGACCATTGGTTCCCAATTACTGCTCAGTTTCTCCTTCACTTCGACAATATAGCCAGTAATAGGAGCCCCGCCGTCGTTCTTCGGCGGCTTCCACACCAGATCCACGTGTTTCTCATCCCAGTCCACGATATCTGGCTTTGAGGGCGCGTTCGCCGATTCGTACGGATTCTTAGCCAAAATGGGTTCGGTTGTGACCAATGGGTCGGACTCTCCCTCCGAGTTAATGGCTTTGACCCTAAACTGGTAGAACTTTCCGGGTGTTAGTCCAGTCACCTGGAAATCAGTGGCGTCTTTGTCTGCGCGACCGCACGGAACCCAATTGCCAGTCAAAGGGTCCAACTTCTCGATGGCGTAGCCCTGTATGGGTCGTCCGCCGTCGTCCTCAGGCTTTTGCCAGTGAAGGTCACAACCCTTTGCGTTCACGTTATCCACTTTGAGGGGTCCCTTAGGCCGAGAGGGGGCGCAGAGGACGCATATCTCGATCTCCGCCTCGTCTTTTCCCACTTCATTCACGGCAATGATCTTATAATTTCCGGTGTGTTTGCGTTGGCAGTCATTGATTGTGAATTTGGTGTTGTAGTCAATGTTAACGATATCGTAATTCTCGTCATTACTGACAATACTTTCGACGAGTTTCCACGTGATAGCGGGCGGCGGTTCGCCCCTAACGTTGACGTCTAGTTTCACTTGTTTTCCTTTCTTAATAGTAATCATTTCGAGATTCGTTCTGTCGATGTATGGCTTCAGTCGTCTGTGTTTTACGACATGGTTTTTGGTGGCATCGCTGGGTTCGCTCGGACCCGCTTTGTTCACTGCAATCACTCGGAACTGCACTTCTGTCCTCTCCTTCAGGTCTACAACTTTGCCTTCGGGTGTACTTCCGGGCACTTCCAGCGCTTTCTCCCAAAGGATGGCGTTTTTCTCTTTCTTTTCGATGATATACTTCTCAATGGGAGCGCCGCCATCGCTCTTAGGAGGCGACCATTTGAGCTCAACGCTAGTGTTGTCGTAATCGATGATCTCAGGAGTTCCCGGTTTTGTCGGCTCGTCGTAAGGGTTTTTGGCGATAATGGCCTCCAATGTAGTCAAGGGTTCGGAGTCTCCCTCGTCGTTGACTGCCGTCACGCGGAATAAGTACTCCTTTCCGGGCGTCAGACCCGTCACATCCATCTCTGGTTTATCTGTTTTCCCCACTCGAGTCCAACGGCCCGACTCTTTGTCGAACTTCTCGACTTCGTATGTCTTGATAGGACTTCCGCCGTCGTCTTTGGGTTTCTTCCACTTCAGTTTACAGCCCTCTTTGTGAATGTCTGTCACCTCCAGAGGGCCCTCTGGTTTGCCCGGAGCCGCCAATACAGTCAGGTCTACCACAACAGAATCGGTTCCGTTCTTATTGGTTGCGGTTATCGTGTATTTTCCCGACTGTTTTCGGGTGGCCTTCGAGACCGTCAGCTCCGAGTGATAGTCTCTGTTCTCAATCTTAATGTTTATATCATCAGAAAGTTTGGTATTTGTTTCGCTAAAAGTCCAGACGACAGTCGGCGGCGGTTCTCCCCTAATGTCGACATCATATTTGTGCGAACGACCGCTTTTGATGATTATATTCTTCAGATTCGTTCTGTCAATATATGGCTTAAGGTTTCTGTGTTTAACGATGTGCTGATCGGTGGCATCGCTGGGCTCTCCCATTCCGGCCATGTTTACGGCCCGAACCCGGAACTGAACCGATGTGTTCTCTTTCAGATCCTTAACAGTGGCCTTACAGTCGGGTCCATCTGTTTTGAGCACTTCTTTCCAGTCGGAACTAAATTTGTCTTTCATTTCGACGATATATCTCTCTATAGGTCGGCCGCCGTCCTTCTCAGGCGGCGCCCATTGCAGGTCAACCCGTGTGTTGTCGAAGTCGACAATCTCTGGTTTTCCCGGCTTTGAGGGCTCGTCGTACGGGTTCTTAGCGGTGATCGGTTGGTCCGTCTCTAACGGATCGGATTCGCCCTCTTTGTTGAGAGCCTTAACTCTAAACTTGTATTTCTTTCCTTTGGTGAGTCCCTCAGCCTTGAAAGAGGTGGCTCCGGGACCCACTTCACCGCACGGCACCCATCGGCCGGTGTCGACGTCCATCTTCTCGATCTGATAGCCCTTGAGCTCAGAGCCGCCCAAGTCTTTCGGTGCTTTCCATTTAAGTTTCGCCGATTCGGCAAATATCTCTTCGACAATAAGTGGCCCTTCGGGTGGAGTGGGTTTGTCGAGGACTACCACATCAGCGCATGCGCTACAAGTGCCCGAACTATTGGTTAGGGTGAGCGTGAATTTGCCGGAGTCTCCCCTCACGGCCTGCTTTATAATCAATAGAGTATTTTTGGGACTGTTTTCGATCGACACTCGACTCGAAGCTTTCAATTCTGTTGTATTGATTTCCCACTTGACTTCCGGTTGGGGTTCGCCTCCAAACTGAATGTCGTATTTAATAATCGCTCCCTTTTTGACCACAATATTCTTCAAGTCGTCTCCAATGATAAACGGCTTAACAAAACGGGCCTTCACTATGAGATTACGGGTGGGATCGCTGGGCTCTCCCGGACCCGCTTTGTTGATGGCTCGCACTCTGAACTGGTACTGCATATTCTCCTTGACTGCAGTGACGGTTCCCTCCAATTTATTGGGCGGCACTTCCAATACAGACACCCAATCGGGTGAGAATCTCCCGGACCCGCTTTGTTGATGGCTCGCACTCTGAACTGGTACTGCATATTCTCCTTGACTGCAGTGACGGTTCCCTCCAATTTATTGGGCGGCACTTCCAATACAGACACCCAATCGGGTGAGAATTTGTCTTTCGATTCGATCACATACTTCTCAATGGGAGCGCCGCCGTCTCGCTCCGGGGCTTTCCATTTGAGGTCCACGTGATCCTTATCCCAGTCCACAATCTCCAGATCTTTGGGTTTGGAGGGCTCGTCGTACGGATCTTTCGCCAAATAGGTCTTCGGCGCAGTCAACGGCTCGGAAGCGCCTTTTTTATTGACCGCTCGGACCCGGAATTTGTACTCCTTTTTATGGGCCAAATCTGTGACATCCATATTACAGCTCTCGGTTGTGCCGACTTCAGTCCAACCGCCTCTAACGGCCAAATCCTGGCGCTCCACCACGTAATGCAATAGCGGGAGACCCCCGTTGTCTTTGGGCGGCTTCCACGCCAGTTTGCATCGGTCTCTGAACAGATCGGTCACATCGAGTGGGCCCTCCGGAGGCGACGGCACGTCAACAAAATTGAATTTGAGGGGAGTTTTTGCCTCTCCCTGAGAGTTGGAGAGACCAAAGTCATAGCCGCCCGAACTCTCTCGCGTCGGCTTTTTGAATGTGATGACAATTTTGTCGTCTTTCACTATAATCTCCACTTCTTTGGGATTAACGGGAACTCCGTTTTGTGTCAGTTTCGGCACCACTTCTGACGTACGATTTCCACTAACTATCGGATTAAACAACAATTAAATCATTTTTACCGTTAAGACAATTAATACATACCTTTGTATGGGATTTCGATACTGAAGGGTCGGTTAGCGTCCGCCTGATAATCGGTTTTGTCGAGTCGGAGCTCCGGTTTCTTTTCAGCCTCTTTGACGTCTACTTTACAGCTGCACTTCAAACCCTTCTCTCCTTTTATACTATACTCTCCGATGTCGTCCAACTGAGCGTTACTTATAATCAATTGTTGTCTTCCGTCGTCATTGAATTTAATGGATATTCTGTTCACAAAATATTCGTTTAATAATTGCATACAAATTGTAATATTTCTAAAACATACCGATCGTTAGGTCTAACTTCGAGTCCATCCTTATACCACTTGATGGGCGCCTTCTTCTCAAGCATTTCCACCTCCAGAATAATCTCTTCCCTTTCAAACACAGTCTTGTCCTGTAATTTCTTTCGGAACTTATTTGCGGCTAAAAGTCATAAAACAATATTTTGAGAAACAATTGAATAATGAAATAAAACATTTGTCGGAAACAATGAAAGGGAAACATACGCTCAACGATAGTCTCGCAAACAGTTTTGTCCGCATTAGTAGTACAACTATACTCTCCTTCATCCGTCACTTTGGCTTTTTTGATGATTACTTTGCGTTTCCTTCCGTCGGAAATGATTTCCAACTTCTTGGGAATGGCTGTAATCTCTTTGCCGTCTTTAAACCACTGGACTTTGGCGTACATGTCGTCCACTTCGCACTCAAGTGTTATCGTCTCGTTTTCAGTGGTCCTCAAACTCATGAGGTATTTGACGAAAACGTATTGCTTGTCAGTGCAGACAACCTCTGTCTTTGTCTGTTCCTCTTGACTGATACGACACGAATAGTTGTCCGAATCGGCGACCGCACAGTTTTGGATGCGCAAGATCTTTTTGCCAAATGTATCTTGCTCAATGCTGTATTTGTCGCTCGCGTCGAGCCGGTTGTCGCCCTTATACCACTTGACGGGCGCCTTATAGTGATTTGTGGTGCACTCGAGCACCAGTTCCCGACCCGTGAACTGTTCGTACTTTTTCTGCAAGTTTTTGATAAACTTGTAGACCGGGTCCGGGCGGTCGACCTCTAGCATCGCCGTACACGACGTCTCCAAACACTGGCACTTGTATTGAGCGCCGTCTTCGACGCGCGGTTCGTGGATCTCCAGTACGTGAAGGTCTCCAGTGCTGGTCATGTGATACTTCTTACCCATGAAGAGCTCAGTCCTGCCTTTAAACCATTTGGCTTTTATGCCGGACTTTGAATACACGGCTTCGAAGCGAACCATTTTGTCTTTGCCTTCTTTCACGTGTTGGTCCACAAGTGGTTTAATAAAGACATCCGGTTTCTGATAGACAATCAGACGGACAACTCATTCATCAACGGTTCCAACATTTCATGCATTCATTAATATATCTCTCACTGAATTCGTGCAAATTTTTGCCTCATTTGAAACATCAAATAAAAGTTGTTTTTTAAATCAATATTTGTTTTATATATAAGAATGGATTATAATGTCTGATATGTAAGCGAATTCTGGATTAACATTGGGGTAAAGGGATTAACGGGATATTGTATGACATCAATATAGATAAAGCTGGCCATCGCAAGGGGTACTGGGATTTGGACAACAAAAACACGACACATATATTGTATGAAATTTTGACATTCATTGTAAGTTTGTTTAGTCAAACTTTTTCATTATTATTATAACTCAATGGCTGTTGTATTTTGTTAACATTTAATCAAATGATAAATTAAATGCTTTTGTTTCGTCAATTGGTTATATAATTAACATGTTTTGAACATTTAGGGTAAGAATGACAACAAATATAGGCAACAAATACAGGTGTAGACGACAAGTGTCTGCGGACACAACGGAAATGACTTTGAAAGCAAAGATACATTCAATACATGAAATGCTTGTGAAAAGCGAAATGTCATCCAAAACGACACAAAGACAACGGAATCGGTTTATCAAACAGTTATGTCAAACCTGCCGGTGTTTCTTAACCGCTTGCAATGTCGGCCAATCGGGTATTAGGTCTGCGAGTGTTGTTCGCCTGTCCTTCGTATTGCTAGGACTCGGCACTCGTAAAGACTGATCGTCAGTGTCGTCCTTTCGGTTTAATTTCAATTGTTAAGCAAAATGTGTGACACATTCAACACATTTTTGGTGTTTGAGACCAGAGTTAACACAAAAAACAATATATTGTTGAACAGAGAAACAGCCAAAGAATCACAATTACTAGCGAATACTATTAGGTGTCTATATTTCTATAAAAAGTTATATAACTATTGCCATAACTATTTGGGAAAACTATGTCTAAAACTATTGAACTACTAATTAATTTAATTATCATTAAATATCGTCTACTTCTAGAAACTACTGTTTGACAAAAGTGTTGCATTAATTAATTAATTGCGAGCATTAGTCTATTAATTAATTAATCAATCAATTATTGAATGCATCAAAACATTGAATGCAAAGCGCTTTATAAACAAAATAAAAAAGTTTTATAAAGAAAAAAGTTTTCATAACAAACCCTTTAAATTGGTTTTAAAGAATAGAGAAGTAGAGAATGTGAATGTGAAGAGCAGACAAATTAATTGTGATTATCATCCAAATAATAATTATGTCAATTCAGGATCCGTTCAGTCATTATCGACATTTCGTTTACAATTAATATATCCAAACATTATGTTTGACCGAAAAATACACAACACATTTAGAAATACACAACATTTAACATTTAGTTTAACAAAAAATACATATAAAAACATAAAGTGTTAGTCAAATAATATTCAAACACATATTTCCAACTCATTTGGAAAACAGACAATTTTTAGTGACAAATAAACATAAAATGACAAAAATTAAGAAAAATTATAATAATTAATGAGATTTAAAAACCGAGACTTAATCGGGTTTTATAGCAATTTTTCAAATTTTTTGCGCAAAGCATTTGTTGGGTTTCAATGAATAAAATTTTGAATTTTTGTTTATTTGAATCCATTCTTTGTTTCTTATATAATATGTGTTCGGATTCTTATGAATACTTATATCGTATAACTTATCATAACTAATCTAATTGTCTCAATAACTAGTGATAACTCAATAATAATAAGTGATAATGAATTGATGCAAACCTTAGTCTCTTTGAGAGAAGCCCTGCGTTCGTCTTCAGTGGCCTTAAGATTACCCCAATCCGGGTCTTCATTGTCTTTCTTCCACTTCGCGTATTGTTTTGCTTTAAGCATCGCTCGGAAATCCATACCACTATCATCTGAAAGGCATTTCATTAATTGTTCAACACTTGGCCAACACAACAACAAATAGTAATGTATTGTCATATAAAAGTCAAACACTTACCGCTGACGAACACTTTGATGTTACAGCTGTCCTCTCCGTGTTTGTTATAAGCAGTTATAGTGAACTTTCCCTCGTCATTGGGTTTGGCTTTTCTGATACAGAAGTATATGGTATTTGTCTCGCCATCGGTCACCACTTTATAGCGCCCGCCTTCGAAGATCTCATTACCCTCTCTAAAGAACTTGTATTGAGCCAAAGGCTTGCTCTCAACGGTGGCCTGTAATATAGCAGTCTTACCGTCGACTGCGCTAACACTACTCACATAATCAGTGATAACAGGCGGGCCCTCATCGCCCGTCGCCCGCATAGGGGTCGACGGCTTATCGGCGATGTCTATCTCTGTGGCCGACGCCCGCCTCACGTCAATACTACCCTTTCTTATGTTAAGCATAGCTGATCCGCGCCTCACTTCCAACATCTCGCCCGGCCTTAACTTCTTGGTCTGTCCCGACTCGTCGACCGCCAGTCCCTTCTCATCTGCAACAATAAGTATAGAACCCCGTCGTGAACCCCTTGGACTAAGAGTGGGCGGAGGAGTGTCTACACCGAGTGAATCTCGTCTATCATCGCTATCTACAGAGTCTTTGCGCTCTAATTCAGGGGTCGGTTCTCTAACTATAGGAATCTGAACGCGATTTTCATTAACCGAACCTCTTTTCGCGCCCCCTCTCTGACCGCCGCCCCCTTCCTCTGTCGGCTCCCCAATAGACGGAATACTTTCGCGTTTCTCAGGCTTTTTAACCGATAGCCTTCTCTTGACGGGCTCTTCGATGACCAGCGAGTCCTTCCGTTTCTCGTCACCATTTTTCTCGTTTATATTTTCCACATTTTTATCGTTCACTTTCTTTTTAACCGATAATTTTTTCTTCGGTTCTTCCAGTCGTGACGCCATCTCTGGTTTAGTTTCTTCAACGGCTGTACTTTCGACTGTTTTCTCTTCTTTTTTCTTTACCGATAATTTCTTCGGTTTTGCCTCAAGAGTTGGCTCTGCTTTTGAAACTGCAGTCTCTTCGGCAGCTTTTGGTTCCTCTTTCTTCTTAATCGATAATTTCCTTTTTTCTTCTGGTTTTGGTTCAGCTTTTGGTTCAGCTTTTGGTTCAACTTTTGGTTCAACCTTTGAATCTGGTTTCGAAACAGCGGTCTCTTCGACAGCTTTTGTTTCTTCTTTCTTTTTAATGGATAGCTTTCGCTTCTCTTCTGGTTTTGGTTCAACTTTTGGTTCAGTCTTTGGTTCTGGTTTTGACTCTTCGACAGCTTTTGTCTCCTCCTTCTTCTTTATCGATAACTTTCTCTTCTCTTCTGGTTTTGGTTCAGTCTTTGGTTCTGGTTTTGCGACAGCAGTCTCTTCGACAGCTTTTGTGTCCTCTTTTTTCTTTATCGATAGTTTTCTCTTCTCTTCTGGTTTTGGTTCAACTTTTGTTTCTGGTTTTTGTTCAGGTTTTGGCTCTACTTTTGTGTCAATAGATGTCTTTTCTTCCTTTTTCTTAA